TCATCTCCAGTGACTATTGTTTCCAACACGGGGTTCGGATCATCTCCACACAGTTCCAAAATCGATCGCTCACACTCGACACGACTTTGCTTCTGAATCGCCGAAAGGTGTTTCCCATCTTGCACTAACCTTATGCATACCCAAATGATCATGAAGGATTCGGCGAACAGTGGTATCAGAAAGCTTGGTCATTTCTGCCATTTCCTTGACCTTCAAACGTCGGTCACTTAGCACTAGGTTTTCCACAAGGGCCACTTTGTCCTCCGTTATCACCTCCACTGGCCGTCCAGGTCTTTCGTCATCTTCAAGGGATTCCTGACCCATGCGAAAACGTTTTGCCCATTCCTTCACTACCGAATAGGAAGGGGAACTTTGGCCATATACGCCATCGTCTTTCTTTAATAATTTTAGGTGTAACCCCTTTTTTTGTTAAAAATTTAATAACCGCTCTGTACTCAATTTTCGTCACCTGAGACATTTTCGGAGATACTTTAGTTCAAAATGCTGACAATTACAAACTATTTGACGTAAGTCGCTTATTTTGTTGGCACAGCCTACTAAGGTTTGTAGTTATAAAATGTTAAACTTTTATCCTGATAAAATATCTGCAACTATGTCAGGCCGGGAATTATTGGCGCTTACCGTACAACATTTTTCTTTTTTTAAATTTTATTTTGGTATATGTACTTTAAACGCGGTTTACTTTTTTATGGTTTACTGAAAGGGTTAATTGTATTCTACCTAGAAGACGAAATATAAATATAAAATAATACAAATCGTCAACTCTCTAAAAGCGTAGCTTAATATAAAATAATACAAATCGTCAACTCTCTAAAGGCGTAGCTTATATAGACATTATTTTCTATTAATTAAATTTAAAATTCAACCCGTTTCCAAACCTTTTAGATTTATAAATATTTGAATGTCTATTTTCACGATCATATATTATTTATATTCACTAATTATCTTGTTCATACTCGCGCGTTGAATTTTAAATAAAAAGTAAAGGAAGGAAAAATAAGGAAATGGCGTTCCACTTCAGACTCCGGTGAAATTTAAAATGCAATGAATGGAGTAAATTTTATTCACCACTTGCACTTCATCAATATTAATATTGGCGGCTTTTGGTAATATGCAGTTGGATATAAAGAGGAAGCTATTAGGCGTTCTCTTTGCCTTTACAGATAACCAAAAATTAATTTTTCGTTGTTTACTTAACTGGTCCATTTTAGAAAATTATTAACCTTATGCATCAGTATTTTCATGATTTCGTCATTGGATTTTCAGTGCCATATTTTCGTAGAATGGAAAATAAGGACCAAAACAACATTATTACTAGGCTTTAAGTTTAACCAAATTTTATTCGTATGAGTCAACCTACCCTTATTTATTGTAAATAATCTATATTATTGTTTTTAAAACCAAAAAAAGGTTTATTTTTATTTGTGACAATTAATATTCATAATATTTATCATTATGCATTTGATTTCGTAAATTAGAACATTTTGACACTTGCAGTGATTACAAAAAATGTCACACTATTATGAATAAATTAGAAAAACAAATATTATTTTTAGGTAAGATATACAGAGTGTCTGTAAAAGGTCTTTACAAAAACATACCACATATTCCTTAGACCAAAATAAGTCGATTTAAGTAAAATTACCTTAGTACAAAGTTGCTTCGTTTGGGCTCCAGAGGGCCTTGAAGTTACAATTTTTAAATCGTTTTTCCCATATAAATTTAAAACGGCATATGCGATTTTGCTGAGATTTGGTATATTGGTAGAGTTTTATGTGGCAAAAAAATGGTATTAAAATTTTGTTTGATAATAATACATAGGCGTAGAATTTGATTTTTTAAATAATTGCACCTTTAAAAATTCTACGCCAATGGAAGAAAAGGAGTTTGAGTATGAAATTAAGATTGCGCAACTGATTTACTTTGAAAAAGGTATTCTTGTTAAGACTCGATTACTCTCATGGTTTTCGCTAAATTTCTGTTTTAATAATTTACAGTGTATAGGTTTCACAAAAATATTTATTTACAAAATAATCAAAATAGAGATTTTACAAAAATTGTTCAAAATGTTTACCATTTTCACTCATACAAAGATTTATACGTCAAAGAAAATTAAAATGTATCCTTTTCATAACTTCTTCATCACCTGTAAGATTGTTTATTGCATATTGAATACGTTGCCAGAGTTGTTCCTCATTGTCTACAGGTTCCCTGTAAACTGTGGATTTCAGATGTCCCCATAAAAAGTAATCTATCGGTGTTAGGTCTGGGGAACGTGGTGGCCAGTTTACAGGTGCGTCATTACCTCTGCCTATCCATTTGTGTGGATATTGTTCATTCAAGTAGTTTCTAACGTTTAAAGAAAAATGTGGTGGAGCTCCATCTTGCATAAACCACATATCTCTTCGTAGTTGGAGAGGCAAATCTTCTAAATATTCTGGCAACGTATTTTGTAGAAAATCCAAATAATTTTCTCCAGTTAATCTTCGTGGAAGTATGACAAGACCAACAATGAAATTACCAATTATTCCAGCCCACACATTAATTTTGAATTCGTGATGAAAATGGTTTACCTTAATTGCATGCGGATTTTCAACGGCATAAACATGTTCATTATGGGTATTAGTTATACCTCTTCTTGTAAAACCCGCTTCATCGGTAAAGAGAACCGTCTTGACAAAGTTTGGATCTCTTTCTCTTTGCATATTAACAAATCGACAAAAACCCAAACGAATTTGAGGATCATGAACTAATAATTCTTGTACTGGCTTCTTATGGTATGGATATAGCAATTGCTCTCTAAGCACTTTATGAACGACATATTTACTTACTCCTAGTTCCCTTCCAATTCGTCTGGTGCTTAATTCTGGATCTTCTTCAACACGTTCTAAAATGTCTTCTTCAACTTCAGGAATCCTTACAAAACGTTCTCTTCCATTATCAACAGTGTTGGGAGCAAAGGAACCGGTCTCCCGAAGACGTCTCTCAATAGCAGCAAAAGTTGGGTGGCTAGGTACACGACGATTTGGAAACCTTTCAGAGTACACCCTGGCAATCTCTCGAGCATTTCCTTCACAAAATCTTAATGTCAGTAACATATCGATATATTCTGCATTGGTATATTGTACAGCCATATTAATAAACCACGCATTTTTTTTTTATTATTGAGTCAGATAGAACACTTTCAATCGTTAACAAGAGATTAGGTGTTAAAACTTGACAATACTTTTATTTAGATGAAACTATGGAAACCAACAATAAATGTTTTTGTATACGTATTGCAGGCAAATAATTAAGATTCCTCAAAAAATCGTACATGGCAAGAATCGAGTATTTTTGTTAAAAGTCTCGGTTAGAGGTGAAGAAGATATGAAAAAAGTACATTTTTATGTTTTTCATCATATAAAATTTTATCCGATAATAATACATAGGCGTAGAACTTGATTTTTAAATAATTGCACCTTTAAAAATTCTACGCCAATGGCAGAAAAGGGGTTTGAGTATGAAATTTGGATTGGGTACTCATTTACTACAAAAAAGTACCCTTGATAACATTCGATTTACTCTCATGGTTTTGACAAAGTTTGTATTTTAATAATTATTGTTTATGTTCTAAAATTACTAAAATGCAAATTTCGTCAAAACCATGAGAGTAATCGAGTCGATAAGTACCTTTTTGAAAGTAAATGAGTTCCGCAATCTAACTTTCATACTCAAACTCCTTTTCCTCCATTGGCGTAGAATTTATAAAGGTGCAATTATTTAAAAAATCAAGTTCTACGCCTATGTATTATTATCGGACAAAATTTTAATACCATTTTTTTGCCACATAAAACTCTACTAACATACCAAATTTTAGCAAAATCGCATATGCCGTTTTAAAATTATATGGGAAAAACGATTTAAAAATTGTAACTTCAAGGCCCTCTGGAGCCCAAACGAAGCAACTTTGTACTAAGGTAATTTTACTTAAATCAACTTATTTTGGTCTAAGAAATATGTGGTATGTTTTTCTAAAGACCTTTTACAGACACCCTGTATATTTTTGGATTTTTTAGATGTGGTAATTTAAATAAGAACAAAATTTCACATTGATCGATCATATTATAATTATAGTGAAATGCTCGAAACAACTATTTTCCAATCATAAAAATACTTATTATATTACCTTAATAGCACTTTTTGTTTTATTTCATAAAATACCATAATATTTTGAAGTCTAATGTATATGGATTTAATTGATCAAAAAATACAAAAAAAAATTATTATGGTATATCAGAGCCCACAGTTACATGGAGTTTGTCAGTCATAACCTTTTATTGCCGATATAAAAGAAAACAACAGCCATTGTAAATTATTTTTCCCATGGTTACGTAATGTTAAATTACTATTTTATAGCTCAAGCATTATGAATGCACGAACACATCGACACTTGCAACCGTTTCTAGGAATATAAAACATTTTCACTTTATTGTTCGTTTTGCAGTGATGTTGGAACTTTGACGCTATATTAATTTTTCGTTTTTGTAAAAATCATTGACTTTGACTTTTAATTTACTTTTACCAGAAGCCAGTTTTAACATATACCTCATAAAACTATTATTGAAGCATCCTGTGTACATTAAAATATTTTTTAACGAAATTGTTAGGTTATATTTGGACCTGAAAACAGGGCCGGATTAGCGATTGTTGAGGCCCTAGACAAAAAATTACTTAGGGCCCCTCCTCCTCTCCCTATCCAGAACATTCAGCATATTTTATGGTACCTAGGGTAGACATTTTTTTTTTGATGAAGTAAAATGTGGAACAAAAATTGATAAGTTCAAAGGTATTTATTAAAATATTATCCTGATTTAAAAAAAATTTTACTCCAAAAAAATACATAAAAAATCAAGGAATATCTAAAAAAAATAATCTAAAACATTACGCTAAAAAAAAAGAATATATTATGTAATAAGGTGGTGGTGGCTAGTGTGTACTCAAATAATTGCTCGTTTCCGTGATTTTAGGGTTGCAAAACTCTCAATAATATTTTCGGCAGGAATTTTATTGAAAATATCGTGTTCTATAGCCAATAAAGAAAGTTGATTAGTTTTTTCATCACCTAATGAATTTCTTTTATAACTTTTTACCCTTTCTAAGATAGAAAATGATCTCTGCCCACTACAGTTAGTTACTGCCATAGAAAAAAATATACTTAATGCAATATCTACGTTTGGAAAACTACAAGTTAGTTTTTTTTGTGTTATAAACTTTAACATTTCCCTTGGATTGCTAATTCCCGAATTAATTTCTGCAATGAAATATTTAAAGCGAATACATTCGGCTCCTAAACTTTGGTCTAAATCGTTTGGATAGTGCTCCTGGAGCAAATCTGCTTGTAGTATAATAATATTCTCATCTGAATAATTTTCTAAATATAAAAACCCAAACTTATTTGAAACGTTAAGATAAGCAGTTTGTCGACTCTTGAATTCCGCAAGAATGTTATCGATTATAACATAGAAAGTATTTATAAGCATATTATCTCTACCACTGAATTCAACTTCACCCTCTTTATTTTCGTAAAATTGTAGTTTTCTACTTTTTTTTATTTTAATATCGGATTTATATGTGGAACAGTTTGTAAGTTCATTGCCACATTTTTCGTAATATGCAAAACGTTCGCGTTGTTATGAAACATGTCTAATTGTCTAATAAGTGAATCATACAATTTGACTGCTAAAGAAACATCGATTTCAGTAGCTTGTAATGACTTGCTAACCTTATTGAACTCTGTTAAAATATCGTCTCATAATTTTAACAAAATCCCAACTTCCAATTCTTCGAACCGATTTTTAATTCCTTTTGCTTGAACTTTTGTACTATTTGGCTGTGTAATATCATTTTTGATTACTTCTAATGACTCTTTACACGCAGAAAACCCTAAAATATTTGCTTTACAGGAATCCGCGCGAACAGACCATCGAGTAATAGTTAATTTTTTTGGAACGAGAGCATTGGGAATTTTATTGAGTTCTTCTGTCATTATTTGCCACCTATGTGTGGATGCTGAAAAAAAATTATATATTTCTTCCAAGAACATAAAAAATAAAGTGGCCATATTACAACACTCAGCTGCACAAGTTCCTACCAAATTAAGAGAGTGGGCCGCAAAGGGGACAAATAAGGCTAGAGGATTCCTTTTTTTAATGAGAGCTTGCAATCCTGAATATTTAACTGTTACTCGTCTAATATCTTAAGAACCGCAGTTTTCATGTCAAGTGCCTTATGGCCAGTATTACTAATAAAGGTAATAAATCGTTCTATAGTAGAGCTATCACATATGACATATCTAAGGATAAAAGTAAGCTGGTCCAGGTGACTGACATCAGGCGTTGAATCCACGGAAATAGAAAAATATTTCGCCGATCTGGCTTCACTACTAATAAAATCACGGATGTGCTTTGATAAAACTCCAATAAACTCGTCACAAATAGAAGATGATAAATATGAGACATTACCACGTCCAAGATTTCCATATTTTTGTAAGTGATTGTTCAAGAATTGATCAAATTGAGCTATTAACTCTAAAAGTCCTAAATAATTGTCGTTGTCATTTCTCCCAAACTTCTCTGTGGTACCCCTGAATGCCATCCATACCTCGACTTGTTAAAAATTTAATTGTAGACAATACACGAAGGAGAATTTTCATCCAGTAGTTTTTTCCTCTAAATATTGTTTTTTAATTTCTGTATCTATTTTGCCTAAAATATTGGAACGAGTTAGAAATATTTTTGTGTTTTTTAAATGTTCTTGCGAAGCCTCATGCTTTTCAATTCTAATAATATTTTTCCAGTCATTTAATCCTTTAACAAAAGATTTTTTACGATCCTTGCTAAACAACATACACGGCAAACAGAAAACTGAATTCTTCGACACAAAACATAAGAGCCACTCTCGCTAAACTTCCTCACCATTTCGAAGTTTGGAAAAAAATATTTTTTTAGACGCGTAGCGTGATTGTAGGCCTTCATAAACTCTCTTTAAGTTTTCAAAATCAAAACTGTTTAAATCCTGTAATATCGGATTTTTTATTAGTGAGTCAATCGTCTCTGAGTTAATGTTAACTGATATTTTTGCAGGATCGCCAAAATCACTGTCACTTGTATCAACTTCGTCAGTGTCATTCTCATTGTTTCCATTTTCATTAGCGGTGAGCAAAGAATCTAAAAACAAAATATGCGCTTGCTTTTGATTTAAAACATAAAATATAAAATAAATACCTTCCAAATTTGTTCTTGAAGTTCCTGGTAAAGCATCATGTGACAAATGAATTAAATTAGAGTTCTGTGACTGCCCACTATCAATATGTGGTTTTTTAAAAAACGTGTCTATTTTTGGCCCATTTTCTATATCTTCCGCCTGCCTTACAGCTTCTTCTTTAGCTATTTTACGTTTTTTTGCCCCACTTGGATAGTTCATAGTAACTCATTTTAGTCACTTAGTCAGTGTCAGTACACTATGCACTAATTTTGTTTTTTAATACAAAATATTTTTGTGATTAAATTACGATTATAACGGTTTAATTTTAACGAACGGACATATCCTTAAAAAATGCGTGTGAAAGCTCGCCGACGCCCGGCATCAAAATTTTGGGGTATTTTTCGGGGATGCACATTAGGGTGCATCGTTAATATTAAATTTTACTTAAAGAAATGCAACAGGTCTCAAAACAAGGGATTTTTGAACCTGATAACTAAAAATAAAAATAAAAAAAAATTGTGCAAAATTTTCCACCCCCGCAACCCCTTAATATATTTTGTTTTGATTTTAAAAACGTAATAGGGTGTAATCATTTTAGTTTCTGTTCAGTTTACCACTGTTAATTTTTTTTTTCGTTCCAATTTTTCTTTCCACTTCCGCAAGGCATACAAAAAAATGTTTAGGGACCAAATTGATATAACATGATAAAAGTGGTTTTATTACTTTTTTATTGCCGAAAAAAGATTTTAAAAAAACTTACAATCTTATAATAATGTATTAAAAGTTTTTATACCTAGTTGGTAGAAAAAAATCTTTTTTTGTATTAAACTTTGGCATCACTTCCCTGGAAAAAATGGTGTTCCTAATGACTCCATCGCGCCTTATTGGATCAGTCACTAATTAAGAAGACTCTGTCACAAGTTTAACTGCCCCTTCTATAGCTTGAGTGTGACAAGGGAACTGCATTATTTCCGCAATGACCAAAGAATTGGAGTAGTCTTTGACAATTTCTTGCAAATCGTCTTCAGATACTTGTTTTAAAAGAGGTGGTTCAGTGAGAGGAAATTCCTGCCAAGTTTGAAAAAGGTCACAATAGTCTTCGGCATCGAAGTTAAATTTGGGTAAAATTAATGCACGAACTTCTGTGTGAAGATCCGTTTGATATATAATTTAAATAATTCGCCTATAGTTTTTCGTTCATCAGTCAACATTGTCAACAGCATATTCCCTGGGTGGCCAAAATAACCATTTCATTGGATAACGGGGTCGATTACATTTTTCAGTTCAAGTGGCAAATACCCTGAATGCTTAATAGTTCAAAGAAATGTTTTGCACCATAAACACAGGATGGTTTGGTTTTTACTGCAAACCACATCGGAACATAAACTTTTGCAACGAACTCTGCCAAAATTTTGACACAGAGTCTTAGGATACGATTTGCGGTGGTAAGCCATCGGGAGTGAACCAGCTTTCCTGGATGTATGTTCAGAAATCTGTCGTTACAAACACCGGTCGAGATAAACTTGCAAATATAAAGGTATAACTGATCTGTGCTTAAATTCCCTGGAAATCTCTGGCAGATCAACATTTATTGTTTTAAACTTGGCTCTAGGAAGGTTTTCGCAACTTTGAAGTGCCTTACCAATTACTCCCGACAACATATTAGGCCCTGTTGTATTTTGCCATCTAAGTGCTGAATTAAATAACGCAACGGCAGTTCACTTGCAAATAAACCAATGAACAGGAGCTCTAATGTGCTGCTCTAAGCATACAATAATTCCACTTTTGTGCCCTGTGTTTGTAACGGTTTCATCGCAACCAACTGCCACTACGTTTTCTAAAGATTTTGACGTTGAAGTTTCAAAAAAGTCTATAATGCTTCTAAAAATATTTTCAGCACTGGAACTCACAGGCGAAACGTGTCCTAGATAGGAAGATCTCGGTTCTTCGATTAGAACAATATGCTCTTCTACACTAGATGTTCGACATTTTAAATCCAGAGAAATTACCACAGTCTTATCCTTACGGCCGTCAAATTAAAATCCACGAATTGACTGGATTGGTGTGTTGGATTGTAGTTCACTTCTTTTCTTGGTACTCAGCTACAAAATATGTGAAGCACACACGGGCACGTTGTCTTCTGCTTAAGCGCGCGCGTGTATGGATGTCTATCTCTTTTAATTGATCTTTTATTTTTCGTTTTTTATTTTGTTTTTTCAAGAATATTATAATAATAATAAAAAGTGACTAATATTCTAACCTAAATTTAACCTAATCGACAATACCAGAGTTTTTTAAATAATTGCATGCGGATGGAACTAGGAATAAACTCTTCACACCCAGGGAGCGGTCAGGGTGACTGACGAACACAGAATGGGTAGACCGCAGTTTGAGGAATTTTTTGTAAGGTAAAGTAACATTGGTGACAAGTCTAACCTAATTCTAAAGTTTTAATTTAATTTTCTGGATAAATAATAAAAGGGCGTCGTAGATCGATAGTTTGTTAAGGGACAGAAGGTATAATAAATTGAATGCAAAATTGTTACAAAGATTAGATTCTTGTATACCGATTTTTTGCAAATGGAGAGGGTAGTTCGAATTTTAGTCTGCTAATGGTGACTATTTCATTTCTTGTGTAAGTGAGATGTTTGTGCCACACTTCATTGGGAATGACTGGGTGCAACGCAACAAAGTATAGCGGGTTGAGGAGTCATTGCAGTATTGTTTCCACAAGTATTTCCAATTATCTTTGAGTCTATTTTTAAAGTATGAAATGCATTCGCCTATACTGATATTGTTTTCCATATGCTGTCCAGTGTTAATGCTTTGCTTGGCTAACATTGTCAACTATTTCGTTGAACTATAGGGCGTCATGTGCTTTTATCCACAGGAAATTATTAATGAAGTTTTGGTTTTTAAGCTTGATAATCAGTAATTTTAAGCTGATTATATAGAGATTGTTGTAAGAGCTTATTATGCCTATTGGACGTGATATGCTAGTAAGAACTGACTGTGAATATGAAATGATGACCGTATTTAATGTTCCTCAACGTAGTTTAAAGCGTTTAAATCCATTATGCTTCGGCTGAGAATATTGATAAATAATCGTTTAACTTAAATTTTTTTTGAGCCTTCAAGACGGGGACGAGGAAAGCACAACCAACTCCATCAATTTGTTTAGAGGCGTCTGTGTAGATATGTACATGATCCGAATACTTTGACAGGTGAAGATTTAGTATATTATTACTGGTTATTGGGATATCACTGTAGGTAGGGGTATTGGTTCTAAAGCCATAAATAATTCATATACATCATATTGAGCAGGCTTATGTACGTAATCAAATAAATTGTGATTGTTTCTGAAGGAATCAACTATTAGCGGAGATACTTTTTTGACCAGTATTTGTTTGTCAAATCATATGTATTTAGTAATGCAATTATATTTATGTTGCAAGGATTAGTTATACATGATTTCATAATAGATTTGTCAGACAATAAATATCTGCGGAGGTGGAGAGGGGACTCTAAAGCTTCCACACGTAGGGGTTCCACTGGGGTGGAGCATATGGCGCCTATGCAGAGTTTAACTGAATTATTCTGTACAATGTCCAATCCTTTTAGGGTACTAAAACTAGCCGATCCATATAGAATACTACCATAATCTATTATGGATCGAATGTGTGACCTGTAAGAAGTTAAGCAAGTTTTGGGGTCAGCTCACCACCAAGTTCTTCTAATTATTTTAAGTAGATTTAACCTTTATTACATTTGGTGACTATATTATCAATGTATGGTTTCCAAGTCAGTTTTTTACCTAAGGTTATACCTAAGTATGTGACTGTGGGGGAGACATGGTATGCAACATTATTAATCTTTGGATGTTGACACTGGGTCACTGTCAAAGATAACTAAATTGCAGATGTAGCTGCGAAGAATGCTACAGTAGAAGAAATAGATGCAGGAATTCCAGTCCCATTCTTAGATTGCAGGTTTAATATAAAAGAAAAAATTAAAATGTCATGATTTGATCGCTGAAGACTTTATAATGGCCAAATGAGCAATATAGAACCCATCGTTGACAAATGGGTCTACCCACAACAGCTAAGCAGAAAGGAACAAGTAGTAATTTGTAGACTGAGAATTCGGCATACATTCCTTACTTACTTATACCTTATAGTTGGCGACCCCAGACCACGTTAGGGGTACAACTTAATATAGGGGTAAATTGCGGTAAATCGTCATATTTTGGGATGCCCAAAACGCATCATTTATGTGGCGGTACTTATGCGAAACACCTTGTATTTTTAAAAGTATAATGCAACAAATTAAACAAAAACAAAGAAGTCAATGCTGAAAAGCCCAAAGCCAATTATTATTGCTCATTTCTCTAACGTCAAATTTTAGGTATTTTGTTTATTTTAATACGGTACGATTAACAAATTTTTATTGTTGTAATAAAATCGCATTCCCATTCACACGTTTTTCATCAAAGTTCCTGTTTGGTCTCGAACATAATTAAAATTAAAATATTAAACCGCATAATACGCGTCATTTTAATTAGTTCGAAATTCCCTCGATTATAAACTTAAATATGAAATAAATGTTAAGTCATTAAAAACACTCTGTATGTATCACTCAAATTTGCATACTATTAATATATATTCATAGGGAACGTTGCCAATCGAGTTGGCTGCCGAGCATTCGCATTGATCGAGGAATATTTTCATCACAAATAAATCTCTTGGAGGACATTAATGAGATGCCCATGCCCCCTTATATCTGGAAAATATATTAGTTTGTTCTAATATTAAATGCAAACAGGTTATACTTTTTTATATTCAGTTTTAGCGGGTTCTAAAAATATTGCGGTATCAAAAATTCGTAAACAGGTAGGCGTTATTAAATATGTGATACTCACACATTTTTTTTAGTGCGAATGTTTTTAAAGAATGAAAACGAATTGGTGAATACCGATTTTTTTTCTGGCAGGGTAGAACTGGTTTCAAAAATGGAATTAATTCCCTTTTAGGGTCTGAATTTTTTCTAGGTAGCCTATTTACAATTCCTTACAAAAAAACAGGCTTACCATTTATTATTTTAAATGGTTATGTTGGCCAATATGACGTTTAAATTAGAAAATTTATCAAAAATAGAATAAAAAATGCAATGGAGAAATTGTATACAAATTTTTTTATCTAAAACTGATCCTTTTATGTTAA